GTCCCCGGTCGACGGGCCGGGGGCCGAGCCGTCGCTGCCGAACGGCTCCCAGGGCGGCGCGGCCAAGCCGGGCAAGGTCCGCCTGCCCCAGCTGGAGCTCTCCTCCCCGTACAAGGCCCCGGAGGCAGACCCCGAGCTGAGCCTCCGCCTGGTGAGCACGGAGGAGGCGCCCGCCAGCACCTTCGCAGCCCTCAAGGCGGCCAGGTTCAAGCCCCCCAAGATCACCTTCTCGGGCTTCAGGAAGAAGGACGCGGAGCCGGCCGGGGGCGTGGTCGCGTCGGCCGCCAGGACCGAGCTGGCTTTGCTGGAGGGGGACCCCGGGCCTAAGCTGGAGACGCCCAAGATCTCCCTGGGCTTCACCTCCAAGTCGAAGGGGGAATACGACGTGCAGCGGGGCCAGGAGGCCGGCCCCCGGGGCGAGCTGGATGGCAGCGAGAAATCCCCCAAGTTCAAGTTCCCCAAGCTGGCCCTGAGCCCCAAAAGCAGAGGGGGGCTGGAAGCCGCCTGTGAGCCGCAGGAGAGGGGGGGTATGACCCAGGAGGGCGTGGGGGCGCTGGAGGGGTTCAAGATTCGGGCGCCCAAGCTGGGTTTCTCCCCTCAGCCGGAGGAGCAGGGGGGCCACGTGAAGGTGGTGGGGAAATCATCCGCCATCTGAGGCCGGGCCGGGGCAGCAGAGAGACGGGAGCTGCGCTGGCTGGTGTCTGTACAGGTCTGTGCCCGGGTGCGAAAGCCGCGCTGGGCAGGGTGCGGAAAGGGGGGAGCAGCCGTTCTAATCCCCAGCTCCAGTATGGGGCCCCCCGACTCCGCCCCAAGGAGGGGGCCGCGTGAACCTTCTTGGGGCAAGAAGAATTGTTTTGTTGGAAATAATGTGAATACATAACACAGCTCCTCCTCGGGTTTTTACAGTTTAATAAGCAGGGCCTTTGACCCGGCGCCCGTGGCGCCCCGGCTCACCGCCTCGCGGGAACCGGGGGTGCCACAGCGCGGAGGGGGCTCCCGATGACTTGGTTTTAACTTTAACTGTGTTTCTCTGGGGGGAGGGGGGCTGCTCCATTTCTATGTTCTTGCAAACTAACGCAAACTAGGAAAATAAAGCAACCGTGGCCTTCCTGCCAGCGAGCGGTGCCTTCTTCCAGCAGAGCCTGGCATGCCGGCGGCACGGAGAATTAGGGGGTGTGAACTGGGCCGGGCCCAGGGTGAGGAATTTCCAGGAATGGGCCGGAGGGGAGTGTTGTGCCTGGCTCCAGCCGGAGGAAGGGGCCTTTGGGGACAGCAGCCTGTCGTCCCAGGTGGCGTTTAACCTCGAGTTCGGAGCAGCCTGGCCGGGCCAGCTCCGCTCGGCTTGCCCTGAAACGCCCGACCCCTGACCGAGTGGCCAGAGGGCTCCCCCCTTCTTGGGGCAAGAAGAATTGTTTTGTTGGAAATAATGTGAATACATAACACAGCTCCTCCTCGGGTTTTTACAGTTTAATAAGCAGGGCCTTTGACCCGGCGCCCGTGGCGCCCCGGCTCACCGCCTCGCGGGAACCGGGGGTGCCACAGCGCGGAGGGGGCTCCCGATGACTTGGTTTTAACTTTAACTGTGTTTCTCTGGGGGGAGGGGGGCTGCTCCATTTCTATGTTCTTGCAAACTAACGCAAACTAGGAAAATAAAGCAACCGTGGCCTTCCTGCCAGCGAGCGGTGCCTTCTTCCAGCAGAGCCTGGCATGCCGGCGGCACGGAGAATTAGGGGGTGTGAACTGGGCCGGGCCCAGGGTGAGGAATTTCCAGGAATGGGCCGGAGGGGAGTGTTGTGCCTGGCTCCAGCCGGAGGAAGGGGCCTTTGGGGACAGCAGCCTGTCGTCCCAGGTGGCGTTTAACCTCGAGTTCGGAGCAGCCTGGCCGGGCCAGCTCCGCTCGGCTTGCCCTGAAACGCCCGACCCCTGACCGAGTGGCCAGAGGGTTCTCCCCTGGAAGCTGGTTTAAAAATAACCGGCCGTCCCAGGAAGCGACTTTGCCAGGCTGGTGACATGCCTGCCGGGAGGTGATGGTCACGGCTCTTCGCCCCAGCGTAGGCCGGCGGCTGGCCTTATGCCGAGCAAAGATGCAGCGTTTCTTTTGGGCTGGGGCACGGTTCTGACCCTTCCTGGGGAGGCCAGGACCCGTCCCACACAGCATGAGATGCCCCTGGCCCTACAGAGCTTGCTGTGTACAAGGAGGAGACAGTCGGAGAGAGTTTGTTCAACCCAAGAGAGATCCAGTGACATGCCCAAGCTCATGCAGGCAGTCGGTAGCAGAGCGGGGCAAGGCCCCGGGGTTTCCCGAGTGCTGTACTCACACAGTCCGCTTGTCCGTCCTTGGGCAGGAACCCCCTCTCCAGTGAGACAGCCCTTTCTCGGGGATCCCATTCCAGTGCGGTGACCCGCTCCTGGGGGGTCCACCCCTCTGCCTCTCGGGGCCTTCAGCTGCCTGCCTCTGCCGCTCCCTCTGGACCCCCAGGGGCTCCACTCCCAGAAGGACCAGCGCCCCCCTGTTCTCTAGACCAGAGCGACTCCCCGCCAGCACAAAACAGGAGGCTTATTGAGCGTTGAACGCAGCAGCGGATCCCTCAGGCCAGTCGCCTGGGCACTCGGCCCACACGTCTGAGTCTCCTCTGCAGCCGGCTGAGTCCTGCCTGCCCTGCCCTGTCCCGAACAGCCCAACCGTCCCCCGCAACAGCCCCTCCCCAGCCAGTGTCTCTCCAGCTAACAGGGTCCCTGG